TCCTCAGGTCAGGCTCCACATTTCGTGCAGAATGTGCTCGAGATTCTCTCTCCCTCTGTCCCTCCTGCTTGTGCTCTCTTTCTCTCTCTCTTAAATAAATGTATCTTTTTTTAAAAAGATTTTATTTATTTGACAGACAGAGATCACAAGTAGGCAGAGAGGCAGGCACAGAGAGAGGAGGAAGCAGGCTCCCCGCTGAGCAGCGAGCCCAATATGGGGCTCGATCCCAGGACCCTGGGATCATGACCCGAGGTGAAGGCAGAGGCTTTAACCCACTGAGCCACCCAGGTGCTCCTATCTTTTTTTTTAAAGATTTTATTTGACACAGAGAGAGAGCCCGAGCACAAGCAAGGGCAGCAGCAGCAGCAGCAGGCTCCCTGCCGAGCAGAGAGCCCCACACGAGGCTTGATCCCAGAACCTTGGGATCATGACCTAAGCCGAAGTCAGACACTTAACTGACTAAGCCACACAGGCCCTCCTAAATAAATACATCTTTAAAAAAATAAAAAAATAAATAAATTTAGAATATTCAAAATTGATGTTTTAAATTTTTTTCTAAAAGGCATTTAGTTTTGAAAAAAATGAAGTCATCCCAACTTTTCATGAAAATAATCGAAATGAAAAAGTGCCGCTCTGAGACAAATTAAAAGATGTGATTACATGTGCCGTCTAGACAAGCCAAAGCACAAAGCCTGAAAGTAATCTCCTTCCTGAGTCTGTCCTATAAAGTGCTAAACCATTCAAGTGCCTATGATATATTTCATTTCTTAAACATGTTCCTTTGCTATTTTAAGTAACTTAAATGATGAAAGAGGCCATAAGCTACAGTTTGATTAAAAAGCACATTTATCTGCTGGGTTATTATTATATCTAAAATACAGCTTTGTAGTTTATCAAAAATGAAGCAATAGCTCCTAGGACCTTCTAAACTGGATTGTTATCAAGTCTTACGTTAGACGCATATGGCCATTTTTCATGTGTGTGAACAGAACAATTCAGAAAACATGAAATTATCATTCTTCTCTACCAGTTTACAGTCCTACAGGCAGTGCTATGAGAGAAGGGTTGATCACATCATGGCACTGGATAATGACCAAGGCTTTTTCCACCTGGGCTGATTTACGGACTCCAGAAGATTGTTTTTTTAAAGACTACAAGCTTAAGAATAAAGTTAGCATTGTGTCTAAAGCTTCAAGGCTGCATCAATTCAATCAATCTGAGTAATTCAAGGATAACTCAGAGGTAGAGGTTATCAACTTCTTCTCTACAATACTTGATACCATCAACCAGTTTTCCCTTCCTCACCTGAGTTGATTTATAGACTAGGGAGGCTATGTGGGCTTGTATGTGTTTTAAGAATACACACATTAGGGGCACCTGGGTGGCTCAGTCGGTTAAATGTCTGCCTTCCGCTCAGGTTATGCACCATCCCAGGGTCCTGGGATCAAGCCCCACATCAGGCTCTCTGTGCATTGGGGAGCCTGCTTCTCCCTCTCCCTGCCGCACCCACTGCTTGCACGCTCTTTCTCTCTGTCAAATAAATGAACAAAATCTTAAGAACCAATTATATATTGTATCAAAACCTGCAGGGACGCCTGGGTGGCTCAGTGGGTTAAGCCGCTGCCTTCAGCTCAGGTCATGATCTCACGGTCCTGGGATCAAGTCCCGCATCAGACTCTCTGCTCAGCAGGGAGCCTGCTTCCCTCTCTCTCTGCCTGCTTCTCTGTCTACTTGTGATCTTTCTCTGTCAAATAAATAAATAAAAAATCTTAAAAAAAAAAAAAACCTGCAACAAGGTATCAGTTCAATAAATCTGAGCAGTTCAATATTGACTGAGATAGGGGTGTCATCATCCCCCTTCATAATGCCCGATATTTATCTGTTACTTAAAATGCTGACTGTAGCATTTTACCTTCCACATTTCTCTGATTTGTGATCACTTGCGATATTATGACCAAATTTCAAACCCGACTGAAGAGTATTACAATTTACTAAAATTCAGTCTGAACCATTTCACTATCATGTAAGTTTGAATTATATACAAGTTCTGTTAATTTTACCCTCAACAATACCTCAATACATGAGAAAAATGTAAAAATCACATTAAGAGCAGTTTCCAATTTATTCAATGATTAAACGGACATCGAGTACTATACCATGTATCAAGTTCCACGCCAAATTCTGACACAGCTGTAAGAAGCTGACAAAGTTTTTCTTAACAGAACTAGGAAATTTCCTTCTTTAAAAATTCATTTATTTGTCTGAGAGAGAGAGAGAGCTCATAAGCAGGGGGAGTGGAAGTCAGAGAGGCAGGCCCCCTGCTGACCAAGGAGCCCGATGTGGGGTTGCATCCCAGGACCCTGGATCACGACCTGACTCGAAGGAAGACACAACCGACTGAACCAACAAGGCGTCCTAAGAACTAGGAAATTTCTGCGAAGTCTGACAAACAGTACTTGAGAGTCTTACACTCATAAAGGCATCATTTTCTATCTTTCTTATATAATGTGTCAAAATAAATTAAAGCAAGGAGGAAAAGTTCAAACAACGCATGGGTTTAACCTGTGTGTTTTCTATGAAATGTAAGTAGTATTTTGCTGAAAGAATTTGCTCTCAAATGTTCATATGATAAGGTACATCCCTATCAATTTTTAGGATCCAATTAAAATTCAAAGAGAAGCCTCTAATTCAATTTCCTGATAAAACGAGCCAGTACACTTCACTGTAATAATAAGCTTATAATTTGCACACTGATTCACTGATGTGTTTGAACCAGATTTAATCTTCTGCCTTTATAGTTTCTCAGCATCCATTCTCTGAAATTTTCTGAAAACTTATTAGTTCTGCCAAGGCCACGTGTACACAAATTCTGAACTACAAAAGCTGTTTCTGCTGGTCACCTTTTCAGAAATAACTGATTTCATAAGAGGAAAATAGCAGATTCTGATACTCTGAATTAAACAAAAGGAGGATGTCCCATAAGAGGCCCTTTATAATTTAGCTGTCACAGAGGTACAGTTTAAATCCTGAAGGAAAACGTGGATAGAGAAAACTAAGTCAAAACCTAAAGGATACAGATAAGAAAGTAAAGAGAAAAAGGGTAGGGATCAAGAGTTCAGGTGCTATAGCCAAACTTCAATAATGGCTGTGTCATTTATCAACTTGCTGATCAGCGTATGTATTGGGTGAGCAAGTCATAACCGTTTTGGACCTCAGCTTCCCAGAAGTAAAATGAGAATAACAGCATCTATCTCATAGGGTTGTTGTCAGAATCAAAAGAAATGGCACACATATCAATGAGGAGCTTAGAACAGTACATGGAACATACAAAAGCTCAAAAGATATAGCTATTATTATCCAATTCCTCTAACAGTAGAGCACACCCAAAATTTATGGTGTTATGAGTTTTTTTGTAAGTTGGTTATTTTGAAAACTGAATGTTTTCCTTCTGAAAAACATTTCAAGTGGAGCCCTTCTGTCTCTTCACAGTCCTGTACTGGTGCCAGCTCTACCACAGTTTTGCCACTGCCCACCAACGGTTCTGGCATTCTCTGTCAATTGCCATACAGTCGGCAGTGGTATTTATAAACAGGTGTTCCTCTCTTCCTTAAAAGTTCTCAACTGTTCCCTACTGCCTACAAAAGGAGAAGCCAATCTCCTTCATATGGCACACAAGACTCTTTACAATCTGGCTTTATCCTCTGTTCCGGTTTCACTTCTATAACTTCTTTGGAAGCTACAGCCACAGCAGACAATTCGCTGTGTCCTAAGCAACCCGTGCACTTTAAGAGACTGCATGCCACTGTATGTGCTTTTCCCTGTATGTCTGAGAAAACTGTCTTCTTCACCCCCAAACAAAAAATTATTCACCCCTCCAAGGCCTAGATGAAATGCCACCTCATTCATTTATTCAGCAAGAAAATTTACTCAATACTCAATACTAAATTTACTCAATGCTAAAAACTAAAAAGGAAGGCCCTATGAAAGTAAATAAGACATAGTTCCAGCATCTGGGGAATCTGTAAGATGAAAGACACATTAAAATAAAATAGTAACATAGCATACTATGAGTAATACGCATAAGACAGAAGAAAGCGATGCCCAAGCTGGGTTCTACAAGATATGGATTTCTGTTTCCATTCTTACCATTTTAACTGGACCATAATTGTAATAACTACTTTTACAGCCATGCAAGCATTTGAAAAATAATCTAGGCAGTGAAGCCAACAAGTGATGAAACCCTTGTGTGGGAGCCCGTTTGATGTGTTAAATCTCAAGGATATCAATGTGGCTAGATTACAGTTAGTAGTTAGTAGGGGGCAGAGTAGAAAAGCATGAGACCAAAAAACGACCTGAGGTACATCATACAGTCTACAGATTCTGGATGTTATTCTGAGATGCGAAGCCACTGGACCATCTTGAGCAGGTAACTCTCACATGATCTGAGGTACTCATATGATTTAAGCTATGATCACAAAGCATCTTTCCTTCCTTTAACAAGCGTCTCTGAGAGATCAGTTGATACTTTTGTTCTACTTTAACCACATCCTCTTCTTTCATTTATTGGTATCAGGTCTCTAACTCCCAGAGTCACGCACCTACCACACAAGAAAAGTCACGTACACCACCCATCTTCCTCTTAGCCCTTTTGGCCTTTTGCTCCTCGTTCCCTAAGAAACCTTTCCCACCCTTGTCATTTTAAATACCCCCCCCACCTCGTTCTGCCTTCTATCATTGTAACCTTTTTGCTGTTGTCAGCAGCACCAGTTTCATCCCTTTTAATCAGTAATAGTGACGGTGAAAAATGCCTAGTCAAAGAATGTAGAAGTTCAAAGCGTCCCTTCCCTAAACACCACCTCCAACCATTCTCACTGAGCCAAAGTCGCACCTTCCATGACCCCCAAAATGAAACTAGCCCCAAAATCAATCGCATTCTCTACTTTCCGCGAATCTAACCCGGCCTTTTTTTCAGCAGCCAAAGCTTAATCCTAGTAGGTTACCTCCACTGTCAGCAGCGTCTTTGCCCTCATCTTCCAACTCCGAAGCTACTGCCCTGGCTACCATTTTCATCTTCTTCTTCTTCTTCAGCGAATTTTTCAGCTTTTTCCCAGCACCCACACGTGAGCCCCCCACGGCCGCGGCCATGTTTCCTCTCCGGAAGCGCCCGTAAGAGTTGCGACCGGTGCTCACAAAAGGACCTCGGCCTTTAGTTCCGGCGACACAAGGTTCCGGGGCGGGGCCATTTAGCCCGGAGTTCCGGGGCTGGAGCCTCAGACTGTGAATCGGCGGGAGGTCTGCGTGGTCGGAGTCTTTACCAGAGTCCGCTCCAGGGGCGGAGAGATTAGTGAACGTACGTTCTCCGATGACTCCTCTTCCAGCTCGCCCTTGCCCTTGGACAGCTGCTGCAAGCCGGAGCGGTCCCCTTTGATGGTCTCCCCTATGGCCGCTTCCCTTCCGGGCCGCCTTTCTGGATGTGGGTTTCGGGAACTCCTGCAAGGTCCCTGACCCGCCCTGCAGCCGGGAGGCTGAGAAAGCGAGCGCTGCGTCTGTAATGACAATACGGGAATGTCATCCTCTCTCCCCAAGTACCAAAGAGTCACAACGCAACACACAAGGTCTTTCTCAAGCACTTGATCACGCAAACGCCCTCTGATTAACCCTTTCCTGGCTTCCAGTCGCAAAGCAGAGAGAGCGTCGCTTTCTTCCGCGGGACCTAGCAGGCTCCGGCCGCGCCAGGCCGACCTGGTGTGCGGATCTCGGGCTTCCACGCGGTGCTCCTGTCCCCCAGGGCAGCCTCTCCCTGAGGCAACCCTTCGGGCAGCTACCGCAATCTGGCCCTACCATTTTCCTCCTAAATTGTTGACTCCTTGAAAGTAGGACCAGACCTCATTCATCGTTCCACCCCTGAGGCTGGCAAAGCTGGTCCAGAGCAGGAGATCAAAAAATAATCTTGGAAGGAGTGAATTAATGAATGACAATAAGCTATTAACGAAGTTAGTAGGTCAGACTCCTAATACAGCAAAACTTTACATCATGTTCTGTCGGCCGGACGAATTCTAAAGGCTTTCCTTAAGCTTGATGTTTTCCTGGTAGAATGTTTCTTGGTTTTTAATAACCTAAAATCTGTAAGAGAGTACGGATTTCTCAATCCCATACATTCCAGCTGCTGTTGGGGAGGGGGGGTTATATTTACATAAGCCAAACTCAGTACATTTTAGTATATGTGCTGCCAAAGCGAGCGCAACTCAGTATATTTTAAAACAAAACAACTGTCTTGATTTTAACAGTGCAGGAAAAGTTACATTCCAAATACAATCAGTAAAGATCAAATTCCAGCTTTTGAAAAGTGCAATTCTTATCAGTGCAAGAAGTATGTCTGGGGATGCCCCTTGGGGCAGGGGCCTGGATTCTCCCAGTCCAGCTCAGTGTCCATCATCCCTCACCACTTAGTGTTGAATCTGTGTCCTGCTGACTTTCCTACCTAACCTTTGTTTTGCCCTAGTGTTCTACACTGAGTTCAAAAACAAAGTTGGGAAAGCATTGAAGATAACTGTAGAGAAGAAATAAATGTTAGAGAGAAAAATGATGACAGTGGCAAGAAGGCTCTCTGGCATAGAAGGTACCATTTGTTAATATTATTGAAGATCAGGAGTGGTATTCTGAGCATTTTACATCTTAATATGATGGCTTATTTTGGAGAGTCTGTGTGGCTTAGTCCGTTAAGTGTAGGGCTCTTGGTAGCGACTCAGATTATGACCTCAGAGGGGTGAGATTCAGCCCAGGCTCAGGCTCTGCTTGGGATATTTTATCTTTCCCTCTGTCACTCCCCCACTCCACCCACTTCTCCCTCTTAAAAAAAAAAAAAATGATGGCTTATTCATAAGTAGGCAGTTACTATGTTTAGCTGTAATTTAAGAAATTGCTGGAAAGGTAGAATTGGTTGATTATCATTCATTCATTTTTTTCTTTTTTAAAATAGGTTCCAGATTTTCATGCAGAAATCTGATTTTCAGAAAGGGATTGCTACTGTTAAGTGGGAGATTCCCGTGTTAACGCACTTAATCTTCACAGTAGGCCAGTGTGGTAGGTACTATTGTTCCTATCATAAAGATGAGGGAGCTGAGGCACACCAGAGATGGAGTACTTGGTCAAGGTCACATCCAGCAAGTGGCAGAATCATGTTCAATCCTAAGTAGTCTGCTCCAGCGTCTGTTCAACCACTGAGCTATATTGCCTACTCAGACTGTTGCCCCTGACATTTAACACGTATGTGCTGAGAACAGACAGTGGAAATTTCTGGCAAGCACTGGAATGCATAAATTAGAAAAAAAGAAATCTATGTCCTTACAATGAACTAAGATAATTGAAAGTTTTACAAATAGAATGTCCAGGAATGGTGGAAATAACCAAAGTCACCTAGATATTTATACGAGCATTTGTTTTTAAGAGTGGGGGGGACGAGGGGCAGAGGGAGAGAGAGAGAGAGGGAGAGAGAGAATCCTAAGCAGGCTACATGTTCAGCATGAAGCCCAATATGGAGCTGGATCTCATGACCCTTAGATCATGACCTGAGCTGAAATCAAGACTCTGATGCTTAAGTGACCGAGTGACCCCGGTTCCTCTATACAAGCATTTGTATAAACATACCCATGATAGCTGTCAGCTTATAACCTCTCAATGTCACATTCACCCTTTTTGGCTGCTCTGTGAAAAAATCGGTGGATCCTTTAAATGGTCTCCTTTTGCCTACCAACAGGTTGTTAAGCTTTGTCAGTAGAGGGCACTAGAATGACGTTGTAAGAAGGAGCAGCCGGCTTCCTGCTTCTAGTGTGTGTCTTCCTAGAGACTCCTGCCATAGCTTCTCTCGCCCTAAACTCCTCTAGCACAGGTAGCCTCTGCTTTCTGCAATGCACAGTGCTCAGTAGCACCCAGCGGCCAGCACCTCTCCCTGGCCAACTCCCTTATGCAGTCTCATAGCAGAACACTTCTAGCACGCATGCTCTTCATTTCTGACCAGCCCATCCCTTGTCACTGCAATGCTCAGTTGTAGTTAACCACTCTTTATCTTAAACTTTCCTGTTCAAATTACTAAGGCGTTTCCATCTCCTGATTGGTCCCGACTGATACAAAGCTAGAATGAGGGAAGTGATGAAAATATTGTCAGCACCCACATACAGTCCCTGCCTACCTACAGCACTATTAGAAAGTTCCTTGGAGGATTATTCAATTCTGGAAGAAATCAGGGGAACTAAAACAAGGATTCCTTGTTAAAACACCAATATTTATAGGAGGATAACAAAAACAATAAATTCTTCTGGATGGTTTGTTGCAGCTTGACTGATGTGAGTACACTGAAGAACTCTAAACTAACAGATATGGAACAGATAAGAGGTCAGGGTCATTGTACAGTGCATCCAGAGCAAGGTTGCTGCTTTTTGGCAAGGTCTGAATGCAAAAATGATTAGGCAGGGGCTCTGGAAAGAGATTCCGGTTAAGTGATAGTGCATGGGTTCTCTGCATAGGGAAAAATCCATGAAGGGACACTGCAAAAAGAAAGAGGATATCTTAATGAATATCAGAGTTGCCAGTTGGGAAGGCATAAGAAAGAGGGACCAGGGGCGCCTGGGTGGCTCAGTGGGTGAAAGCCTCTGCCTTCGGCTCAGGTCATGATCCCAGGGTCCTGGGATCGAGGCCCGCATCAGGCTCTCTGCTCAGCGGGGAGCCTGCTTCCTCCTCTTTCTCTCTCTGCCTGCCTCTCGCCTACTTGTGATCTCTCTCTGTCAAATAAATAAATGAAATCCTTTAAAAAAATAAAACAATCAACAATCTGAGGCCTCTTGAATTAAAAAAAAGAAAAGAAAAGAAAAGAAAGAGAGACCAGGATAAAGTTATAAGGAGGACAGTCGTGGGATAAATTTCCCCAGAGAAGAGATTGTCACCAGTGTTAAATTCTATTGCAGTCTCAGAGGAAAAGAAATCACAAGCATTTAGTGACGTGTCACTTTAATGAGAGATATAAATGAAAACTTTTAAAAGCTGAAATGATATACCATACTCCTAAAAGAGAGATCAAGTATTCTGAAGTTATTTATTTATGCCAACCAAAATTCCATTGGAATTAACTTTGGGAGAGGAGAGACAGAGACTGATGTCTAGATAAAATAATTATTTTTTTAAGATTTATTTATTTATTTGAGAGTGAGGGAGTCGGGGAAGATAGAGGGAGAGAATCTCAAGCAGACTCCCCACTGAGCATGGAGCCCTGGGGGGCTGAGACAGCAGAATATTAGTGTTTTAACAATTTGCAGAGAAAATAAAGAAGCTCATATCTTACACTAAAATGAAGTCCAGAATTAAATATTGAAACACAATGTAGAAAAAGAGAAAAAAATACCTGACTTATCGGGATTATAGAAACAACTCATCCAACTTTAAAAATCAGTGAGGGTGAGTTCTGAAAACAATTCATACCTCACATCATATACAAAATGGATTCAAAGTGAAATAGACAAACATTACAACCACAAAGTTTCTATCAGAAAGCAGAGGAGCAAACCATTGTGAAAAAGCTACATACAGTATGATCCTAACTTCATGATATTCTGGAAAAGACAAAACTATGAAGACAGTGGTCTCCAGGAGTTGGAAAATGGGCATGGTGGAGGGAAATGAATAGAACACGGGAGATTTTTAAGGCAGTGAGAATACTCTGTCTAATGACATAAAGATGGATATATGTCATTATATATTTACCCAAATCCATACACTGTATAACATCAAAAATGAAGAGCTGTAATGTGATCTATGGCCTTTGGGTGATTTTGATGTGTCCATGTAGTTCATCAGTTGTAACAAATGTAGCATTCTGTTGCCAGCGAGTTGATAATAGAGGAGGCTATACCTGTGTGGGAAAGGGGGTATAAGGGAACTCTGTACATTTTCCTCAGGTTTGCTGTGAGCCCAAAACTGCTCTAAAAATAAAGTCAATTTGAAAGAAAAGAAAAAGAGAAGAAAGAAAGGAAGGAAGGAGGGAAGAAGAAGGAAGGAAGGAAAGAAGGAAGGAGGGAAGGAAAGAAGGAAGGAAGGAGGAAAGGAAGGAGGTGGCAAGCCACACACTTGGAGAAAATATTTAAAAAACATATGTCTGGTAAAGGGT